CCATATCAGTCTGTCCTAGAGAAATCTTGAATAGCTTATGTACAAAACCTTTACACATTCTCAGGTTATGTGGTAGCCTTTGCTCAAGAGTCTCCTACCTGAAATAATTCCTAGGTTTTGGCTGCCGCTGTCAGTTGGCTCTGATGATGGACCTGCCTTCACCTCATTGATAGCCCAAATGGTCTGTAAGTCCACACCTCTAAAGCTCTGGACAGGTTAAAAATTGAATCAGACCAGTAAGTCCACCCTCTCTAGACTAATCATAGAGACTAGTAAAATCTGGGCCAATCTCCTAAACCCGGCCCTCCTTTGGGTGAGATGTATTCCTTATAAGGTGAGATTCACCCCCTATTAGATTATGTTTGGGAGGTTGCCTCCCAGACTATATACATTAAGGGACCCTATTCTAGAAAATCAATTATTCTTTTTTTATTTCATTTTATTTATTATTTTTATTTTATGTGTATGAGTGTATTGCCTGCATGTGCGTGAGTGCACCCGTGTCGTGCAGTGCCGTGGAGCTCAAAAGAGGGCTTCGGATTCCCCGGGAACTTGAGTTAAGGACAGTTCGTAGCCACCGTGTGGGTGCTGGGAATCGAACCCAGGTCCTCTGCAAGAGCAGTCAGTGCTCTTAACTGCTGAGCCATCTCTCCTGCCCTCAATTAGTCTCTCTTAAAGTTTCTCCAGTCTTTCCAACAGCTCAAGATTGCAGTCCATTCTAATTTCCGAGACGGCCTCCCAGTACCGTCCATTATGCCTGCCACCTGTTCCACCCTGGAGATCCGGTGTACATCTCATGGTCTTCTGTCCTGGGGTCTCTGAGAACCTACAGATCCTGTAGCTCTGACAATCACCATAATGAACAGTTGGTACAAGAGAACACAGTGGGGTGAGGTGATAATGCTCCCGTGAAGAGCCATAGACTATCTAACACAAAACCCAGTGCCAGGCATGGGAAGCCTCCCTTCCAGTTTTTTCAGTGGAGCCGATGAGACCCCCAACAATATGATGTCTTGTCATTGTCCTTGGTTGCCCCCAAACATGAGGATCAGACCTGATTGCTGAAGATCACTAACATCTGACTCAGGACTCGGAGGAATTAAGGTGAAACTGTCCTGGAAGCCTCCTTGAAGACCAGCTTTCATAGTATTGGAAGCTGCTGTGCGAGCTTCCAAGAGAGAACAATAGCCTCTTACCCGGCTGTAAGGCCTATGAACCACAGCACTGACCAGCCAAGCAAGATATCCCTGACGGTGCAATAGAGGCTCTTGTATTGGGGGCAATAAACAACTCTCTTATTGGACTTAAGGTCAGCTGATGGGAGGAAATTCAGGTCTGTATTGTGAACCTCACCAAATGCCCAATGCTGGAGAGGTCATAGACAGTAGAGGAGAAGCTACCACTGCTGCATTCCTACACCAATGTAATTTAACTGTGTTCTAAATACCCTTATGCCCACAGGGGAGTACGGCTCTAACTCTTCATCAAGAGGCATCTATTTGCAACATATGGAGACTATGACAAGGATCCACACGTAGTCAAAATGCAGAGGATAAATGCCCTTAGCGTGCACAGCTCCAGGTTCTATGTGTACAGTGGAAGTGCTATACCCAAAGTTCATGGAATGTCAGCTGAGATATCAGGAAGATTGCAAGACCAGGACACCTGCTGCTGGGTAGCACCGTTCCCACATGACAGGGAAGCTACACTCACAAAATCTCAACAATGTGGTTTCCTAAATAAACCCTGTGTAACGACAAACCAGTTGACATGCCAATGTGGATGGGAAATTTCATAAGATCCCACCTCTCAATGAGAAGCTACTGAGAGTTAATGGCTGATGACAGATGGAGAATCAGACGTGTCCAGGGATGAGTCTAATAATAGATTATCCAATCCCAAGTGCTCACCCCTAAGCACATGTACATACAAGCAACATAAAACAGGCTCCCTAGGTTATAGAGGTCATGGACTTAAGAGGGAATGAGAAGGACATGGGAGGAGCCAAAGGGGGAGGCAGAAGGGAAATATAATAGTTCTACTCATGTATGAGATTCTCAAGATTTTAAATGTTGAAAAATATATACAGAAATAATTTTTACAAAGATTCAGTGGTCTGGGGATCTCACATGGACACAACTAGCCCATAGAATACAAGGGCCATGTCTATTGATGCTATGTCCTGATCCCTGAAGACATGAGGACAGTTCATGCAGACATCCGTATTCCAGAAGATGCCACATCTGTAAGAAACAGCCACCAGATGTGGACCTGATAACCCAGTACACAGTAGGCTCATGAAAGAGAATGGGGAATTTGTACACTCCCTGGCCCTCATGATGCCTTGTCTCATGAGACAGCGAGAAATGAGAAATGGAAGGAGAGAGAGAGAGAGCAAGAGAAAGAAGGGGGAGAGAAAGAGAGAGGGGGAGAGAGGAGAGAGAGGGGGAGAGAGGAGAGAGAGAGAGAGAGAGAGAGAGAGAGAGAGAGAGAGAGAGGAGAGAGAGAGAGAGTGTAGAGCAAGAGAGAGAGAGAGAGAGAGAGAGAGAGAGAGAGAGGAGAGAGAGAAAGATTCTGGATCCTGCCCAAGTACCAGCACTAGGGAAATACCAGCCAGTCTTCTGGGGCAGGCAACTCCCCTTCCGGTAGGTGATAAAGTCACAATCTCATGACAGGAGGGAGGTCCCGGGCTCCAACAGTCCACCCACTATGCCTCAGCTCATTTAGCAAGGGGACCAACCATCAGCAAGGTTGCAGCCACAGGGAGAAGATGCCATGGCCCCCACCATAATAGCCCTGCTCTGCCTTGGTAAGAATGTGGAGATGGGGAGGAAACACCCTGGTCTGGGAGCTCTCCTCCCCCCCACCATATCACCATGCCTCAGGAGCTAAGAAGGCACCTAGGAGGGGGATCTACCCAGGTTTCAAGATGAAAATCTCTCACAGGAAACTCTCTTCCAGGACTGAGTCTGGGCTTGAGGAATCCAGCCCTGGCAGGTGAGTGCGTCCCCAGCTGCCCCAGGTCGTTCTTCCTCACTGAGGACAAGGGTCCAAACCTTGACAGTGGGGATGGAGAATGACAGGTGTGGGCTGGTGATGGGAATGCCTGACAGGCCCTGGGGGTGAGAAAGGGGATCTGAGGAGGGATGTCATGGGACCAAGCCTCTGATTTCCTTGCAGGAACCCTTCCCAAGGCCCAAATCAGGGCTGAGCCGGACTCTGTGGTCACAAAAGGAATGCAGGTGAACATCTCCTGTGAGGGGCCCACAGGTGCCCAGTTCTATCTCTGTAAAGATGACACCCGAGATCCCTATATCGGACACATAACACAGGAGCTGAGCAATAAATTTGATTTTTTCATTCCATCCATTGTGAGGGAAAAGGCAGGGTGATATCATTGTTATTATAAGACCCTTGCTGGTTGGTCAGAGAAGAGTAACATCTTGAATCTTGTAGTGACAGGTAAGAGGCACTTTTGTGTCCCAGCTCCAGGCTTTGCCCTTGGTAATATGATATGCTCATGGGGTGCCCTGTCTCACAGCCCCACACTGGGGTCCATGGGTGAGGTGTGACTCCATTTAACAGGCTTCTTCCTTCTGCCCTAGGATTCTACAGCAAACCCAGCCTGTCAGCCTGGCTCAGCAACAAGGCGACCTCGGGAGGGAGCGTCATCCTCCAGTGTGTCTCAGAGCAGCACTATGACAGGTTCATTCTGACTAAGGAAGGGAAGGAGAAGCTGACCTGGATGCTGGACTCAAAGGATAGTTCCACAGGGCAGTCTCAGGCCCTGTTCCCTGTGGGCCCTGCGACCCGCAGAAGGGAATGGATACTCAGATGCTATGGCTTTAACTTGAACAACTCCTGGGTGTGGTCAGTACCCAGTGACCCCCTGGAGCTCCTGTTCCCAGGTGAGGATGTCTCAGACTTTGAATTCTATGACATTGAACCTGACACAGGTCCTCAGGGAGGCAGAACCCAATTGCAGACACTGAGAGGGAAACCCAGGAAGACCTGGGAGGAGTTGGGTCTTCATGTAACTCCGCTGGTTCTTTTGCAACTTAATGATCATATCAAGTGTTATCTTTGACTGTGAAGTTCATTACACCACAGTTAAAAACAGACCCATCTCCTTCTTATCTATAGTCTTTCCAGGGACTGCCCAAAAACCGCCCATCTGGGTTGATCCAGGCCCTGTCATCGCGTCAGGAAGTCCTGTGACCATCTGGTGTCAGGGGGCCATGGAGGCCCAAATATACGTTCTACAAAAAGAAGGAAGCCCAGCACCCAGGGACACACAGACCCCACAGGAGCCCAGGAACAAGGCCAAGTTCTCCATCCCATCCATGACTTTCACAGCCCTGCCGGCTGGTCAGCAAACAGTAACCAGCTGGAGCTGGTGGTGACAGGTGAGGGGACACTCTGGGCTCCTGGTCATAGTCTCTCTTCTCAGGAAAAAATGATCTATTATAAAACGTATCTTCTTTATGGAAGAGGGGCCAGAAGGATTGTCACAGCCAAGAGTCAGAGAGGACCAGAGACAGTGTCTTCTGGATAGGACAGGACGACTAGACTCAGGAACAGAGCAGTTTTGGTCGCCTGCACGAGATCATGCCAATCCACATTCCAGGATGGAGAAGGGAGGGGTTCACAGGCTCCCTGTAAATCCCATTACACCCAGACACATAGGGACTTCAGATGTTATGGCTACTACAAGAGAATACCTCTCGTGTGGCCAGGACCCAGTGAACCCCTGCAAATACACATCTCAGATGAGGCAGCCCCATTACTGACCCAATCATGTTTTGAGACCCTAAGCCTTGGTCATGAGCTCTTCTGCTCCCAAGAGAGTACAAGCTGTGGGGAGACGGAGGGAGCACTGGGTCCATGAAACAGAGTCCCAGGGTAGGCGAGACAATGACATCTGAGTGGCAGTTTTGGAGAGGGCAAGTTTGGGGGACCATCCACCCAGGTCCTTAACCTCTAGCCCATCTTCCCTCCAGGGCTGTCCAGGAATCCCTCTCTACTTACCCTGCATGGCCCTATCCTGACCATTGGTGAGAACCTAGTTCTCCAGTGTTGCTCTGAAATTTACTATAAGAAATTTGCTTTGTCCAAGGAGGGAAGAACTCACCTCATCCAGCACTCTGGCCAAGGGACTCAGACAGGACTCTCTCAAGCCAGCTTCTCCTTGGGCTCTGTGAATGTCTCTTGTGGTGGCCAGTACAGATGCTATGGTATACACAACCTCTCCTCTGAATGGTCAGCCCCCAGCAATCCTTTGGACATCCTGATCACAGGTAAGAAGACCAGCAGTCTAGTCAGGGTCCCAGAATGCACAGGCCCTGCTGGAGGAGCCCAGGAAATTATGACTGGGATGAGTGTGGGGGTCTCTGGGAGGAATAGACATAGACGGTGGGTGGGGGGGTCAATGTCAGAGATACCAGAGACCCCAGTCTTCAGAGACAGGCCCTGGAGAGGTCTCATCTCAGAATAAGATGGAAACCCCAACCTACCCTTCTTCTCTCTAGGACAGTTCCCTGTCACACCCTCCCTCTCAGTGAAGCCAGGCCCCACATTGTTCTCAGGAAAGAACGTGATACTGCTATGTCAGTCAGAGAGCCGGATGGATACTTTCCTTCTAACCAAGGAAGGAGCAGCAAATCACATACTACATCTCATGTCAAGGTTTCAAGCTGGGAAGTACTGGGCAGAATTCTCTGTGACCTCAGCCCTCAGTGGGATCTACAGGTGCTATGGTTCTCAAAGCTCATCGCCCCACCTGCTGTCACTCCCCAGCGCCCCTGTGGAGCTTGCATCAGGTAAGGTAAACCTGAGCTCTCTGAGCCCAGATGATGACTCAGGGTCCTGTGTTCAGGAAAGCTCTTTTCCAGGATGGGAGTTAGGGGGTCACAGTCAGAGGGAGATTCACTTCAGAGGTCAGCAGTGGTCACTCAAGTTGAGTCCAAACCCCTCCTTCATTGGAATTCATGAGGCTCCAGGTGGGCAGCAACAGGGTCCTATGGAGGCTGAGGGTAGATGTAGAGCAGTGAGCAGGCATGGGGTCTCCAGGGAAGACTCCCATCCCTACACTCCTCATGTACTCTTTCCCACAATCCTCTGGGGTCTCTAAATCCCCACCCTCAGACCCCAGCAGCTGGGGAAGCTAGAGTCCTCTGTCCAGAGAGTTTGCTCTATCCCAGGTGATCTCTCTCACTCCATCTAAGTTCCAAAGCAGCTTATGTCTAGGGATTGGGAAGGGTCTCAGCAGGGTCCCCGGAAACCCAGAGGCTTAGAGACAGGACTGAAAATGATATATACAAACAGTGATGTCTAGACTCAGTCTGACGGAGGAGCAAGTGGGTGAGATGAACTGGGAGACCATCCCCTTCACCTCCTCATCCCACCCAGCAAGCCCTCGGACTCAGCCCCTCACACCACAGGGTCAGGCCCAAGAGTGCTAAGTGAAGACTCTTGGGAAATCCATTCAGGCGACCCAGAATTAGTTATGGAGTTGGTGCGGTCTCATTTGTAGACACTGACTTGAACAAGCTCCTCCCCTGATTGGGCCTCAGTTTCTCCAAGTATAAAGGACAGAGGTGTACCCTAGAACACTTAGTTCTCCTCAGTGATGACCTTGGCTGTGAGATCTCCTGGCAGAGGAGGCCTCCACAACCCAGTTCTGCAGTGGGTCTTGTCCCTTCTGCCACAGTGATAGTGATATTGCTCAGGCGTGGGTCACAGGGTCATGGCAGGGCACTCAGGCTTCCTTCCTCCAACTCATGAGGATCGGCTCTGGTAGGAAGAAAAGGACTGGGAGTCAGATTCCCTGGGTTTGACTCCCAGCTCTGCCTCTTCCAGACAGGTGACCTGACTGGGTGGGAGGGGGGAGCATTCCATGCTGCATGATTGTGAGGAAGGAAGTCAACACAAAGACCCACCATGGGCCTTGCACACAGTAAGTGCTCAGGATGGGCCTTGCACACAGTGGGTGCTCAGACAAGCAGTACTATTCCTCCCTCATGATTTCACTTGTGCCCCAGGTCTGGAAAGTTACCAGAACTTTCTGATCATCGCCTTAGTGACCTTCCTCCTGCTGCTTTTCCTCCTCCTCTTCTTCAGCATCATCCTCTTCTTCCTCAGACTCAGGCATGAGAACAGACGTGGGAAGGAAGGTGAGTAGGGCACAGGGGTTACAACTGTCCTAGTTTGCTTTCCAGTTCTGCTGATAAAACAGTGGCAAAAAGCAACTTGGGGAACAAAGGGTATATTTGGCTCAAAGGTTACAGCCAAGGGAAGCCCAGGTAGGAACTCAGGGCAGGAAATGGAAGCATAAACCAATGGGGGATCATCGGTTCCTGACTGGCTTTTAGGCTGACTCTCAACTACCTTTCCTCTACAGTCCAGACCCACAAACCCAGGTATTACACAACTCACAGTGGCTGTGCCCTCCTACATCAATTATCAGTCAAGAAAATACAGACAAGTTCTCAGGCCAATCTGATGGAGTTAATGGAAGTCGATTCCTTAACTAAGTTCCCTCTTCCCAGATGTGTCAACTTTACACAAACGACTACCCATCACAAGTCTACCACGTGTCAGCTATGAAAAACAAGCACGTCACTTTAAATCGTAATCTTTCCTGTCCTCAGGATATTATAATAACATCACAATACAAATAGCTATGCAAACTATTTTTAAGTTTTAAAAATATTTTATTGATTATTTGAGAATTTTACACAAAGTATTTTGATCATTTTCAGATGACATCACCCATCTCTCCCGCCAACCTAATATCCCCTGGCTTCAGGTCCCCTATTACTTTTTGCTTTTTAAAGGCCTGTTGAATCTAATTTGTGTTCCTCAAATGTTCTTGGGTGTAGGTCCATCCCCTGGAGGCTGGTCATCCTACCAGTTGTCACAAACCTAAAACGAAACTGAGTCTCCAGCTCCCAGCAGATATCAACAATTCCTTGGCTACTACTGGGCTTCTTGCCCTCCTCCCCCATCCATGCTGGACGTTTTGTTCTGTCTCGTGTTTACATAGGTCTTATACATTCTGTCACAAGCACTGTGGGCTCATATGTGTAACCGTTGTGTCCAGACAACACAGTTTCCTTGTATTCACCATCACCTCTGGCACTTCTGTCCACCTCTCTCTTTCCCACAATGATCCCTGAGCCAGGACGGGAGAAGGTGTGACGTAGGTGTCCTATTTAAGGCTGAGCACTCTGCAGTCTCTTATTCTCTGCACAATAGCTGATTGTGGGTCTTTGTGTTAACAGCCATCTGCTACACAGAGAAGCTTCTCTGGTGAGAGTTGAGAGATGTAATAATCAATGGATATAACAATATGTCAATAGAAGTCAGTTTAATACTATGTTTATCAGAATAATAGTAATGGGTTCTCTACTACAGCCTGTGACCTGTCTAGACACAATGTCAGGTATGGACTCCAGCCTTATAACAGTGTCAGGTGAACAGTTCCATTTCATGGAGTAGACCTTAAATCCATCAGAAGGTGATTGATCACTCCCATACTATTCACGTGACTATTGTATTAATTGGCATATCTTGCAGATCATTCATCCAACTTTTTTTAATCCCACAACCTTTAAATTTTAAAATTCCAATGATTATTTCCAAATTACCTTTAAAAATCCAAAGTCTCAACTGTGGGTTCCTATAAAATCAAAAATAAGTTACTTTCAAAAAAAATAATAAGTTACTTTCTTATTCCACGTGGGAAGAACCAGGACATATTTCCAATCCTATAAAAGCAAACCCCAAATCTAGCAATGTAAATAGCTTCATATCCAACAAAGGAGACTCACTCATGATCTTCTGGAATCCAAAGGGCTTTGGTAGCCCTACCACTCCAGCTGTCTCACCCACAGAACACACACAGCTTGTCTGGTAGGCTCAGGCTGTCTCCACTTCCATACCTACTGCTGTCCTTGTTGGTCATCCCTTGGTCCTGGACTCTCCAATATACTGGGGCCTTCACTGCAACTGAGGCTTTACCTATACCCATGGCCTCTCCTGTCTTATCACAGGGTCGAGGCTTGTGTGCTCTCCTTGACTCCGGAACTTCAAAACCACTGCCACATGAAAGACTCTTACACATTTCCAAGTTCAGCTTCCGGCTTCAGAAGCAGCCGTGCTCTCCAGCTGGACCACAAGCTCTGTGTTCTCACCCTGAAGAAACACCTTCTGAAGTTTTTGCTTTAATAATGCTGGTCTCTTATTAACCATAGCTGATCTTTCAGATACCCACCATGAATAGTCCCAGTAAAGCAACAGCTTTGGCTCAGTGGTGCCGGTCTGTTGTCAGTCACGGCTGATTCTTCAGTCCGCACTGATGAGAAACCCCAGGCTGTGGTTTCAAAACATCACATGATAGAGTCCTTGAGAGATGCTCACCCTCCCTCTGACATTTCAGAAGTCAGGCTTCCACTGCCTATATTCAACGGTCTCATCATCCAAGCTCTCATAGAACAGACTATTAAATTCTGAGCACTCCACGGATTTTCCAGTTAAAGTGACTAAAAGTGTCCCCAAATCTCCCAAGAAACATCATGGCCAGATCCATCACAGCAATACTCCACCAATTTCTTTCCTCATTTTTTTTCCTGTTGTGGTGATAAAACAGTGACCAAAACCAACATGGGGAGGCAAGGGGAGTTTGGGCTTACAGGATGCAATTCATCATCAAGGGAAGCCAGGAAGCTTGAAGCAGAAATCAATGGAACAACACTCCTCACTGGTTTGTATCCAGGCTCAAGTTCAGCTAGCTTTCTTAGCCAGCCCAGGACCACCTGCCAAATGATGGCCCTCCTACATCAATTAGCATCCGAGAAACTGTCCTGGAGACATGCCCACAGCACAATATCTAATGAAGTTCCTCAACTGAGGTTCCCACTTCCCGCGTGTGTCAAGTCGTCAACCAAGATTAGCCATCGCAGCAGGACTCAGGAGGTCATGGACATCCCTCTGGGCCGTCCAAACAGGGTCAGAGGGCACCAGCCCCAGGAAAATCAGCCAGACTAGGGCAGATCAGCTTTAAAATGCTCTTGCTCTCATATTGGAAAACATTGATCTCGGTATGTGTGAAAACATGAGCTCTTCCATCTCCTGGAACATTTGCACCTTTATCCTATATTATTAAGTTCCCTTTCTTTCCTGAAGGTGCATGGGGATGGGGCTTCCCACCTCCTGGCTGAGACTCTTCTCTCTCATATAGCCCAGAGAGAAACCACCAACTTACAAACTGTGGGGTCCTGTCCAGCTGCTTCCATCAAGAAAGAAAACCTGTGTGAGAGAAGAGGGCCCCGGGGAGGGGGACGCCTGAGGTCTTGGCATCACAAGGGTGGTGGGGAGGGGCTGTTTTCAGTGCTCTATGGGACTGAACTCTTACTATGGACCTGGGACATGACCACAATTCCTGGCTCTGTCCCCATGTGGGACCGCACAGGGTTCTAAAGAACTGAGAGTTCCCAGGACTCTGGCCAAGAGGTAACCCCTATGTTCTCCCAAAACAGATGCTTCTGTGAAGATCCCACAGCCTGAGGACAGTGTGGAGCTTGACAGTCTGGTAAGAAGCTCTTCCCATTTACAGTGCTGAAGAACTTCGGGACCAGTTTGATCCAGGGTCCTTCTCTGTCCTCCCCTCTCTCTCAGCCCTCAGTCACATCCACAGCTGATCCCTTCCTTCTGGAAATGCCTGCCACTACCTGCTTTGGACCAACTCCTGGTTTTCCTGGGACCATTTGGCCCCTCTATCTGGCCCTTATCTGGCTCCTGGACACCTGTCTGATTATTACTGTGTTCCCAGTGTCTCAGAAGGATCTATACTCAGTTGTAGAGTTATTACCTAGCATGTACAAGGCACTGTGTTTGATACCCAGCACTGAAAACAAAAACAACAGCAGGATATGTGAGTAAATGAGCCCCCATACACCTGAGCTCCCTCATTCCCCGGTCACCCATTGGGAATTCCCTCTTTTTTACTTTGTTACTAAGTATGTATTTGTATGCATGAACCTGTGTGCACATATCTGTGGAGACCAGGGATCAGCAATGGGTGTCTTCCTCAGTTGCACTCTACCTTATCTTTTTGAGAATGCTTTTCTCACTGAACCTCAATCTCATTGATTTTTCTGGCTAACTAGCCCCAGGGATCCTCCTGTCTCTGCCTCTTCAGTGCTGGGGTCACAAGCCCATGTGATTGTGCTTAGATTTTACATGAGAACTGGGGATCATTCGTAAGTCCTCATGATTGCATAGCAAGCGTTTTGCTGAGTGACCAGACTCCTAGAAGGGTCTTCAGATACAGCACAGAGCAGAACTCCTCACCCACTTCAATGACGGAGACAACATGCTTACAAACTCAGAGTATGGGCAATGCAATGTGTTTGTGGGAAATGTAGCAGAGAGAGGAGGGGAGTGGTGGAGGCAGACAGGGCCAGTGTGAACCACAAGGGGTGGGCCTGTGACTGGTGTCTTCTGAGGAGAAACATGGACGGAGAGGCACATACAGACATCTAATGGGCCAGCAACTTAAGGCAGGGAAAACAACAGGCATAAAGGTCCTGGGGCAGGAACATACTCTTTCAGGAAGATAGGCTGTGGGATTGGAGCCAATGGAGTGAGAAAGTGTTAGGATGATAGGTCAGACTTGGATGAAGGAAGCTGCCTGACACCCCAAGTCCTCCAGAACCCCTGAAAATCCAATCAGGAATGATATAACATGGTGTGACTGTCTAAAGAATCATTCTGGCCACTCTGTGGAGATCCGATGGGCAGAGATTCCCAGGGGAATGAGGAGACACTGTCTCTGTCTCACTCTCTCCCTGCTGCAGATGCATTCTAATGAAGACCCCCATAAAAGAGATGTACGCCCAGGTGAAACCCTCCAGGATCAGGAGGTCAGGGAACACCTCTCCTTCCACTATGCCAAGGGACACCCAGGCAGAAGAAGACAGAGAGAGGGACAATCAGGTGGGTCATGTCTTCCTCAGGCCCCAGGCTCCCAACACCAAGCACCTACCTTCCTCTCACCCTCTCTCACTCCAGGCTGCTGCATCTGAGGAGCCCCAGGATGTGGCCTATCCCCTGCATGTGTATGGTTGAAGGCTCTATAACCATCTATGATGCTATGACAGGCACAAATGAACCTCCAGCCTCACAAGCAGAGGATCCCCAGCTGGAACCAGCGAGCATCATGCTCTGGTGTCCACCAGCCCAGGAAAACCTGACTCCATACTTCATGGATGAAGAATGAGAGATTTCTCAGAGACAGGATCTGCCCTGGGTAGACAGCCATCTTGTAGACCGCACCCGCCTCAGGAGGATTCGGGGAATTTGGGAGCTCACCTGATTCTTCAGAGATAAAGTTTATATATAATCTCACTGGGTCCATTTAGTGGTGCTTGTGTGTGCTTGTGTTTCAAGCTACCTGCTTGGAATTAGATAACCTCTAAGGGACGTAGTCACTGGAGATGACTGACTCTCCCTCCCTCAGCATCCATTGATTGTAGCCCTTCATCTTCAAGAGGGATCCCATGATATCCCTCCATCCACCTTGGCATGTCAACTGTTTTTGTCATTATTCAGATCTCATTAGATGACCATGCTGTGGAGATTTCATTCGTGCAGCTTCCCAACCGTGTCTAGAACAGTAACTAGCAGCAGGTGTCTTGCCCCTCTGGCTCTTACATGCTTTCTGCTCCCTCTTCCGCAATGTTCCCTGAGCCTTAGGTGTAGAGGTTACATTGTAAATGTGTCACTTAGGGCTGGGCACCTCACAGTCACTTGTTCTCTGCATTTGACTGGTTGTGGCACTTTGTAATAGTCTCCAACTGTTGCAAGAAGAAGCTTCTTTGATGGGTAGTGAGAGGCCCATTCATCTATAAACACATGGACATGTATTTAGAATACAGGACCAAATTACATTGGCCTAGGGAAGTGACAGAAGTATGCTCTTCTCTGGGTCTACACCCTCTCCAGACATGTGGGCTTGTGGTGTAAATGCGGGTATTTGAACAGGGGAGAGAGGAAATAGGGCTATACAGGTGGAAAAAGAGAGATAAGTGATGCTTAGGTGGTATGACAAGCCAAAAGGAAACTTAATAAGTCTTCTGGAAAGAACACATATAAATATGAGGGTATGTGTAGGGATGAAGGCTATATGACAAAAATCACAGTGTCAAACAAATGAAAGCTCCCTTCAAGTTGTTGGGAATCCAAGAGACTCCCAACAACGCAGGATGTTGCTACAGCTCTTGATTGCCTCCCAGAACTTGAAGGTATGACTCTATTGCTGAAGACTGGACATACTTCAGATACTGGACTTGTAGCCATGGAGCTAGAATTAACTAGGAAGCCTCCTCCATGAAGACTAGCTCTCACAGTATCAGAAGATACTATGCAAGCTGCCATGAGAGGAAACCAATTAATGGTCCTACCAGTTGTAAACCCTATGAACCACCACAATGACTGGCCCACCAAACTATCGCTGTTGCTGCAGTAATGGCACATTTACTTGGGGTAAAATGCAGCTGTCTAATTGGATCTAAGGCAAGCTCAATGAGAGGGAAATCATGCGTGGTACTGTAAACATAACGAAGTTCCTACATTTTTTAAATAAAGCAAAATTTTGTCAATAGTCAATGAATGAAATTAAAAAGGAAAACTGAAGTGGCAATGTTTTATTATCCTAATATGTACTTTTTTGTTTGTCAATAAAACTGAAAGTTGAATAATAATGTAACCATGGCACAAAGAATTATGTGTCTGGAAAGTTCTGAAACAAATATATGTAGAAGAAAAGAAACAAACTTTCTAAATCAATAGCTTCATTCTCATATTGAGACAACAGAAGAGAAAAACAACCTATTCCAAACGAAGGCACGGGGAAAGCAATGATACAGCAAGAGAAGTTACTGGGGCTGGAAAACTTTCTCAGTGGTTAAGAGCACTTGTTGCTCTTCCAGAGGACCTGAAGTTGATTCCCAGCACCCATGTTAGGCAGCTCACAGCTGCCTATAACTCCAGCTCTGGGGTACCTGAAGCCCACTTTTGGACTGTGTTGGTACTAGACTCATGAGCATGTATCACACACATGGCACACACACGTACCCATAAAACATATAAACAAATCTTTAAAAAGGTGCAGCTTTGAGATATGAACATGATGTCACTGGCCAGTAATTCCAGCTGATCAGAGGGTGAGACGGTACCACAAGTTCTAGGCCTACCTGGACTATCTGGAGAGTTGACATCTAGCCTGTGCAACTTGAAAACACAGTGTCTCCAATAAAAATTATAAGGGGGCTGCAGATATAGTTCAGAGGCAGAGCACCTGTATGACAGAGAGAGAGGCTTATATTGATTCTTTAGTATAAACATGCATAACTGTGTTATTTAACAGTTCTGTTTTGTAGTTTCGTTTGCATCTGTGCAAACTTTCACAGTTGTGGAAAGTCTAAATGTCTTACACAATGTATGAGGATTTATTTTCCCCACATACTCACCAGCAGTTATGCATATTTGTTATTAATTTTTTAGTGCAAAAACAAAGGCTTTCATTTTGATCTATTTTTCTTTTTTTTTTTTTTTTTTTTTTTGGTCTTTTTTGAGACAGGGTCTCCCTGTAGCCCCAGCTGACCTGGAACTCACTATGTAGACCAGGCGGGCCTTGAACTCACAGAGATCTGCCTGCCTCTGCCTCCCGAGTGCTGGGATTAAAGGCGTGCACCACCATGCCCGGCTGTCATTTTGACCTATTTTTATAAACACATGCCATGGATCATGATTCATGTACACTGACACCTCTATTCTCTCTTTACTCCTTACGTCTGTACTTTTTTCCTTTTGATTTGGCTAATCTCAAACTTGCTATATATTTTTATATATATATATATATATATATATATATATATAGCCAAATATACATATATGTATGAATTTTATATTCCACATATGAGGGACGCATGGAGCATGTGTCCTTTTTAAATGTATATTTTTATTGAATTTTTTTTCACATTTTTATTGAGCTTTCGTAATTTCATACAACAGTTCTTAATCAAATTTAGACCCCTCCCCCATCCATGCCTCCCCCATTCCCCCAACAAACCGCATGCATTCCACAATACATAGTAAGTCTTATTCATTAGGGCATTTGTACCCAAATGTCCTCCAGTGTAAATGTGTCCACTGGAGTCTAGTCAGCCCATCTAGTGATCGTATGTAAAGCATACTCTCCCTCACCTAGCAGAAATCAGTCTCCAATGGTTCTCAGTCTAGTGCCAGCCCGCCACCTATTTCTCTCCTCCACTTTGGCCCTTGTTTAATTGAGTTTTCACGGGTCCTGTGCTCAATGCCACCATTGCGACAAGTTCACATGTGCAAGTTTCCAGTGGCCTGCAAGCCTCTGCTTCCCTGTGTTCATGAACCAGCCCTGGCTCCTAAAATCTTCCCGCTCCCCCTTCTGCAATGGTCCTTGAGCCGTGCATGGATGAGGTTCCATTGTGCAGTTCATATAATACAACTTAATCACATCTAGACCCTCTCCCTATCTCTAACCTCCATCTGCACCCCACAGGATTTGATACATTCTGCTATATATGTGAAGGCCCATCAAATCAAGATTACGTACCCAGATGTCCCTTGGTATGAGTTCATCCACTGGAGACTGTTCAGCCTATCTAGCATCTCTCCCTTAAAGAATGCCAACTTTCTCTCACCCAGGAGTGATGAGCTGCCAATAGTTTCTTGGCTAAGATTGGGACCTCTTGTCTATTTCCCTAGTTCTGTGCTGGATTTTAGTCTGATTAGGCTTGAATGGATCTTGTGAATGCTGTCTCCATTCCTGTAAGTTCATTGAGCAACTCTGTTTCCTTATGGCCACACGCCACCCCTGACTCTTACAATCATTCTGCCTCTTCCACAATGGTCCCTAAGCCCTGCTCGGGTGAAGTTTAAGGCGGAAGTCCTAGCCAAGGACACTCACAGTGCACTCTCTTACTCTCTACACTTTGGCCAGTTGTAGCCTTCTGTGTTCATCACCCTCTGTTTTATGAGGAGCTAAGAAATTATACCTTCAGATTTACTGGGAATGGACTGTCTGTACGTTCTGTTCACTATCCGCATGGCCCCATTTTTCCATGCTATTTAATAACTCATTTTGATTATATTTACAATTTAGTATTTTGCATATTTTTATATCTCATGAGTAGAGGAAGAAATTTCATTTCAAGCAGGCAAAAAAGTCAGCAGTGAGCTGGAGATGTAGCTCTGTTGTCAGGAGAGCTGTCTAACGTGCACAGAGCCTTGGTTCGGTCCTCTGAAGTGTGTGAATGGTGTGTGATGGTGCAGGTCAGTAATCCTGACACTGAGGAGATAATGGCAGAAGAATTAGGTCCAGGTCATCCTCAGTTACATAGTAAATTGGAGAAACTGCCTCAAAATAAACACAAAACAGTTCCCTATACATAGTATGAAAAGTTGGCCATGGAAACACTTCCTAAGTGGGTCTCAAATTTCACCTAAAACCTCCTGACCTGACTTTCACTGTCTGCATTCTGTCAGTATTCTCATCTGATCCTTCACCACAACTTTACATTAAGCCCTCCTTAGGAGATTCCAGGCTTTCTCTAGCTCATTTCAGTCATTCATAATTCCACCTGCAGAACAATCACAGTCTGATCCACATCATTTCAGGTGTAGTAACAAGAAAGTCCAACTTCTCAGTGCCAATTTGTGTACTAGTCATCATCAGGAGAACATCATCAAGAGAACATTTCGTGAGGTTGTAATTACATCTTAAAAAGAGGGAAAAAGAACTTTTTGGCTCACAGTTTAAAAGCCACATCTCTTCAAGAGTTTCACCAACTTCCAATTAAGCCACACTAAGAAGCAAGCTTCCAACCTGTGGGCCTCGGGAACAGTGCAGAGTTATTCTGGAGCAGACCTGGTTGGTGGTGATGAATCTCCCACTTCAGGATACCTCCTCCTTCACACATGGCTCCAGAGACACCTCTGCTGGATACACTCTGAGCACTGTGTAAACTCACACTATGACAGAAGGGCCATGGACATGGTGCATCCAAACACTTCCTGCCGTGAGACACACAGCACATGTTCTACCCAGAGCAGCCATCACTACCACCATGGCTGTATTGGTTATAAATGTCCCCTCATGGCCCATCAGCTATAGACTTGGCTTAGCATTGTGTTCTGCCTTTAGAAGATACTGAAATCTTGAAGAAATAGAGCCAGATTGAATTCAGTTAAATCTTGGCCATTGAAGAGGACGTTTGTCTTGAGCCCCTCTTCTTCTCTCTCTGCTTCCCCTCCTACCTGAATCCTGCACTCTTGAGTCATGGCCTGTCTTACCTCCACCCAAGAACAATGTCCCCAGTTTATGTGAACTGAGTCCTCTAAACCATGAGCCCAAATCAACCTTCCTCACCTTCCCTTTATCTGAGGTAATTTTCACAGTAGTTGAGACTTCATGAACACACCCTCAGGTCCAGTGTGGAGGTCATCAAATCACCAGGCTCTTGTCAGTTTCAGAGCTGCATCAAAAAGCATAAGTTTGTCACACAGCAGAGGAGGGACTTTCTCCAGGGTGGCCACAGCACGACCTCTCAGCTCTGGGTTCTCTTGGCACTGTCTGGGACCTCTGGTGATACAGGACCTTCATGAAGGACCCAGGATAAGGTCACTGGTCCCCAGAGTCTCTGGTCTGGGAAAGTGTGTTACAAACCCTGCAGCTCTTCTCCTCATCTTCACCATGATCACCTGAACAGGCAGGAAAAACAGTGGCCTGGCCAGATTATAAATGCTGGAGATGGAGAATCAGAGAACCGTGGGAAATATCCATCCTATGTCCTATTGCTATGGAAAGCATAGAACGCCTCCAATTCAGTTACCAAACAAAACATTGCATGCTGACTGAAGATGTAAGAGGCAGCAAAATATCCCAATGTGCAGCACAGGTGGGAGCCTCTCATTAGACAGAGCAGCATTTTCCACAGCGACCCCTCGACTCCAGGGCACAGTGAAGCACAGCCTGACCTCTCAGCCAATAGGCCGGGTCATGAGGAACAGGCTGAGAAGACCCCCCTGGGGCAGTTACTGTGAGTGTCCTTCATGTCTCTAGAACAAATCCCCTAACACTGGAAAGGGGATCTGATCATATAGGGAACAGCAGCTTTATTCGGGACCCTGTGTAATTGTTCTGCTGCAACAATGAAATACTTGAGCTCAGGATAGAAAGAGTAACCACTTGATGAAGGGAGCGGCTGCTCCACAGGCTTCTGCCATGATGGGCTTCCCTGAGAAACTGGTCACAGAGTTTGAACCTGCTGATCTGGTACTAGGAATTAAGGGAGTGGGGCTCTGGACAGTCGTGCATTGCTTGACTTCTCATGATCTAACCAAAAAATCATCTGCATCTACAGTCACTGGGAGAAGGACAGGAAATCACTCACTGTGAAAACCAACCAAACACTAAAGGTGCCCTGTGCCTGCCAGGGGACCAATCACACACAAACCCAGAGAGTCCCACCCTCAAGACCCAGACACATAGAATCTGCTCAGCACTGAGGCTGGATGACAAGAGAGAAACTTCTGTTTCCCACCACGAGCCTGTCCCTGAGCAGCAAGAGGAGAAATCTTCAGGTGTACAGGCGCTGATGGACATGTAGGATGACAGGATTACCCCACCAGTGTTGTGTGCTCAGTGACTGTGATGTGTAAACGGTGAAGCATGAATGAGGTGACCACAGGGCAAGGATGGAAGACAGGTATGGTCACGTTCCTGCTGAGGGGCTTTCCAACAGGGACAAGTTGCTACCGCTGTGGGTGAAGATGTAAAGCACAGTGCTCTCCGCTGTGATGCCACCTGTTGATGCCTCCACCCTCTGAGTCAAGTTGATCATTTGGAGCTCATTCCACCAGGAGGCGGCAGCACCTCTTCCTCCCAAGACTGATGCCTGCTGGGAGGGTAGCTGTGACTGAGCTCGCAGCACTGAGTGCAGGTCCGATTGGTTCCCGGGTATTATCCCACCATGTATTCTCATATCGGAGACAAGTATCCACTCAGATAATAGGGAAGAAATATGAAGGCCATGTGAAATACTAAACACACAGGTCTCAGGAAGGCATCAGACGCTGGGGTGGGGTGCTGCTGCCCTGACAGAGAGTGAGTATGCCACCTGAGACGTGCTTGTAATGGAAAGCCTGGATAAACTCTGCAGTCAGAACTTGTTTTTTGTTGTTGTTGTTGTTGCTGTTGTTTGTGTGTGTGTGTGTGTGTGTGTGTGTGTGTGTGTGTGTGTGTGTGCTTGTTTGTTTGCTGCGTTTTGTTCAGGGGCTGAAAGAAGCCAGGATGACCTCAAACTCACTATGTAGTAAGAATGATTTTGAATTCTGATCCTCTGCCTCCTGAGGGTGATGATTATAGGTATGAACCACAGTACCAGATTGATGCAGTGATGGGGATCAAACCCAGGACTCCATGATGCCAGACAAATACTCTCCAACTGAGCTATATCTCAGCCCCCAGGGCTTTTATCTGACATAATAAATGTACATAGAAATTAAATCAACAGACATCGAAAATATAGATATAGAAGATGATGATCAGTGACACTGACAGTCAGTGATGTTCTTTTGGTTGGTAGAATTCATGTCTGAGAAGCAAGAGGGGAGAATACTAAGTACCTCCATCACGTTCTCCATAGGATACACAGGCAGTGTGGGTGTCCAGTGTCTGCCCTTCTAAGAGATGCTGGATTAGAAAATCGTCCTAGAGTGGAGACTCAGGCCAGTGAACATGATAAGGAAACACCCTAGAGGAAATCCATGACTCCCCCATTTCCACGTGGGTGATTCACAGCACAGCACTGGGTGAGAAAAATATTACATTCTTCTGTTACGTACAGTTTTCATTAATGATCATGAGTCTCAGTGGCAGGTGAGCAAGCAGGCATCTTAGATAACTTCCCAGAGTTCTGATGGAGGCTACACAGCCACAGACAGCAGTGAACAGATGTGTGAGCTGAGCTCTTCACCCCCAACCCAAGTGTGTTCAAGTTACAACCCCTGGTCCCTGTGATTGAGTTCACACCACACATACAGGAAAAAAGACAGGAAAGGCAGTTTGCTTTTCATTAACATATTGAAAACACAATATACTGGATCTTATGGGATGAAGCTGGTGGTGTGGCCAAGTAGTAGATACCTGATTAATGCTAGAGGCCCTGTGTTCAGTCTCCAGTAACAAACATACCATCATCTCTTTGAGTAAACAAGGAAACACTGAAGAAAGTCTGTAGTGATAAGTGAGCACATTTATGAACAAATACCTGAGCACTGTGTGTGTCTGTAATCCCAGACTTGGAAGTCTGAGGCATGGGGGTTATGAGTTTGAGTGCAACATGGGCTACAGAGTAAGACCCAGCCTCAAAAACAGAAAAGAAAAGGATGAAGTTGTTAAATATGACACATTATTGTAAATGTTAAAGTCTGGAAAAATACAAAGCACGCAACTACTAAATATAATTATTATTCTGTCACCTCTACTGCCTTCTCTATAAACCGTCACAAATGCTGTATTAGTCGGGACTCACCTGCCTAATTCATTTCTGGGTCTCCATTCCTGCTAAGTGGCTCTCCTCCCCTGCCTCTGATCCTCCAGAAGGGAAGTAGAAGCAGCAGATAGCTGCTGAAACCAGCCTCATCCATATAGTGAGTTCCAGGCCACTGAAGGCTACACGGTGAGGCTCTGCCTCAAAAACAGAAAGCGAAACAAAACAAACAGCAAACAAACAAAAACTATGAAAGACAGATGATGGAGAGTTTAGAATCCAGACAACCAAAGCATGGAAAAAAGAAGAGCCAGTCTCCTCTGAAGGAAAGTTCTACTTCCTGTCTGTCTGTGGGAAAAAAGCTCTCATGACAGGAAAGAGGACCAAACCTCTAAAGGCCACAACACAACCTGTGCATCTGTCTATCTGGCAAGGCACTGTCACCAAACCTCTGCAAAGCTGCATCCACAAGAAATAAATGTCATGGTTCCCACTTGCACCTCCCTGCTCTGCCTTGGTGAGACATAAGGACAGGGAGGGAACATTGGTCTGGGAGGGACCGCACCCCAGTCAAACCTTGTATGACTAAGACTTCTCAGGGACTCAGAGCCAATGAGGAGGGGAGGACCTGCTCAGGCTTCAGGGCAGACCTCTCACAGAGAACACTCTTCCAGGACTGAGTCTGGGCCTCAGGACCCCAGTGCTGGCAGGTGAGTGGGTCCCCAGCTATCACAGCTAAGTCCTCCTCACTGAGGATAAGGGATCACCTGTGAGCATTGGAGACAGCAGCAGGTGTGGCTGATACTGGGGAAACTGAAGAAGGTCCCCAGGCTGAGGGCTGGATCTGAGGGAGGGTGTCCTGTGACCCAACCTCTGATTCCTTGCAGTGACCCTCCCAAAGCCTGCCCTCAAGACCAAGCCAGGATCTGTGGTCACCAAGGAAACACAGGTGACCATGTCATGTGAGGGGATTTCAGGTGCTCGGGAATACTTTCTGTATAAAGAGGGAATCCCAGAGCCCTGGCAAAGACAGACCCCACTGCACCCTGGGAACAAGACCCAGTTCCTCATTCCATCCATTAAATGGCACCATACTGGGCAATATCACTGTTGCTATCGCACCGCTGCTGACTGGTCAGAGCTCAGTGACCCCCTGGAGCTGTTGGCAACAGGTAAGAGGTCATTCAGGGATCTAAGCCTCAGATAGTGCCCTCAAGAAAGGGGTCTCTTCTCTGGGGTGTACATTCTCACAGCCCAGCACCGGGGAACAGTGTGGGAGGTGTGAGCCCACTTAGCACACTCCCTTCTTCTGTCCTAGATGACAACAGTAAACCCGGCCTATCAGTCCTGCCCAGTCCTCTGATGACTTCAGGAGATTATGTGACCCTCCAGTGTGTCTCACAGCAGGAAAACAGCAGGTTCATTCCAGCTACAGAAGATCAGAAATTCTCTAGGTCCCTGGAATCACAGTATATATACACTACTGGACAATACAAGGCTCAGTTATCTGTGGGCCCTGTGACCCCCAGCCAGAGGTGGATATTCAAATGGTACAGCTATGACAGCAGCAACCCCCAGGTGTGGTCAGGACCCAGTGACCCCATGGAGCTCCTGGTCTCAGGTAAGGGAGCCCCAGCCTTTCCATTGAATGACATTGGCCCTGTTGCATGTTCCCAGGGGAGGTCCTGGTGTGTGATAGGTGAGGGGATCCAGGATTCCCGAGTCTATTGACAGAGAGCATGGGAGACAGTGAGAGTCAAGATGCCAAACCAAGGTGGACAGGGAGAGTGAGCAGAAACAGGTCAGATGGGCTTAAAAGGCTCCACTGGCCCTTCTGCTATTCAGGAATCAGACTAAGTGTCACTTATTGGTTTTACTTGTCAGGACTCAGATTTGCTTTGCTCAGCAGGGGACCTACTGGCTTCGGGGCAGATGACTTGATCAGCGACAGAGTCTTAGACCCTGAGACTTGTGTCTTTCCAACAAGCTGATTTATTTTAGAATTCAGATGGTTTTTATACATCCCAAGGAACTAGCAGTCACATGGGATATGGGAGTCACATACAAAGATTTAGGACACAAAGAAACAGGACATTTAGTCTGCTAGTTGGCGCCAGGAGGATTCTTAAACTTTTACTCAAGGTTATCAATGCCCATCCAGTAATTTATTGGCCACAATGTTTTCTTTCTTAAAGCTAAAAGCATGGTGAACTTTTAGCTTTTAGCTCAGGAGTAAACCTCTAACCTGGCCTAATCTCTTAGCCAGGGATAGCTGAGTTATTTGTTCAGGACAAAGAGATGAGCTAAGGGTTGTTGACCAAGATGCTTTCCCACAGAGCAGGGAGCCTGCACTTTTATGACCAGGCCGCTTCCTCCTGCCAGTCTAGCAGTGTTCTGCAGGACAGGAATTATCAGAGCCCCTGTTTTCAGTGCCCCTCCCTTTAGCAGAGAATGCAGCCTGGACTTAAAAGTGTTAGGCTTGCTGTTGTAATGAAATGCTTCTTCTAAGTATGCGGTTAATAAATAAATAATTTTTTAACTTCCCCCCAAAAAAGAGTTTTAGGCTCACCCTAGGGCCTGGCATCCTGGTTTCCTACATTTACCCACCAACTTCCTTTCAGGAACCCTCCACAAACCCACCATCTGGGCTGAGTCATGCTTTGTGATCACCTCAGGAAGTCCTGCAACCATCTGGTGCCAGAGGACCATGGAACCCCAACTATATGTTCTTCTTAAAGAGAAAAGCTCAGCACCACTGGACAAACACACCCTACAGGAGCCTGGGGATAAAGCCAATTACTCCATCCTGTCCACGTCACAGCGACATGCAGGGCGATATCACTGTTACTGTTACAGCACTGCTGGCTGGGCAGAGCGCAGTGACCCCCTGGAACCGGTGGTGACAGATGAGAAGACACCCAGGGGTTCTAGCCCAAGGTCCTGCCTTCAGGAAATGCATCTGCTCTCAGAGGTGTCCCCCTCCCACAGTCCGGGCCCCAGGGTAAAATATGGGCTGTGTGAGTCCACTTAACCTGCTGTCCCTTCTCTTCTGGGATTCTACTTCAGGAAACCAAGCCTGCTAGTCTTGTCCAACCCTGTGGTGACCTCAGGAGGGAACATGACCCTCCAGTGTGTCTCATGGCAGAGATATGACAGGGTCATTCTGATTAAGGAAAATCAGAATTTCTCCAGCTACATGGCTTCACAGTGTACACACTGGGCAGTTCCAGGCCCTATTCCTTGTAGATCCTGTGACAACCACTCACAAAGGGACATGCAGATGTTATGGCTACTACAATATAAACCCATTGTTGTGATCAGAACTCAGTAAACCCCCCACCTGAAATGCATGTCTCAGGTAAAGCAGCCCCATGGCCAGCCAACCCAATCATTTTCTTTCAGACCTTGGGCCCTTTGCCATGAACTCTGCTCCCAAGAGAGTCCCAGGTAGCAGAATGGCTAAAGGGACTTTTTGCTCCTGAGCCAGAATCCCAACAATGTGAGAGAGCTTATCCTGGTTCCTGGACAGAACCTGACCCTGCAGTGCAGCTCTGACACCAGCTACACCCGATTTCCTCTGTTCAAAGAGGAGACATGTGACATGTCCCAGAGTACTGACTGACAGCCCCGGCTGGTGTTTTTCAGTCCAACTTCCCCCTGGGCTTTGTAAGGGGCCACTATGAGCACTATGGGTCACACATCGCTCCTCTAAGTAGTCAGCCCCCTGTGACCCCCCTGAACATCCTGGTCACAGGTGAGGAGACTAGTGGGTGCAAACAGGGACCCAAAGTCTGCACATGCCCTGCCGGGATGAGGGCTGGGGTACAAGGGAGGAGCAGAAGAAGAGACAGGGTAACAGGATGGAGGCAGAGTCAGGGAAAACAGAGACCCAGGTCCCCAGAGACAGACCCTGGCGAGGTCTCAGCCAGGATCAAGATGGCAGCTCCCCACCATCCCTCTTCTCTCAGTACAGCTCCCTGTCACACCCTCCCTCTCTGTGCAGCCAGGCCCCACAGTGTTCTCAGGAGAGAATGTGTCGCTGCTGTGTCAGTCACGGAGCCAATTGGACACTTTCCTTCTGACCAAGGAAGGGGCAGCCAGTCCCCCACTACATCTCAATTCAAGGTCTCAAGATGGGAAATACTGGGCAGAATTCTCCATGAGTGCTGTGACCTTGGCCCTCGGGGGCACCTACAGGTGCTACAGTTCTCAAAGCTCATCCCCCTACCTGTTGTCACACCCCAGTGACCCCATGGAGCATGTGGTGTCAGGTAAGGTGTCCATCACCTCTCTGAGCTGAAGGTCTTCCATTAAGCATGTCCTCTGCTAGGAAGGAAGTGAGAGCACCTGGAGAGGGGGATTCACCCTTCCAGAGGTACAGGTCAACATTCAGAGAATGCCCACTCCATCTTTTCAGTGGCGTCCAGAAGGTTTCAGGTGGGAAACAGGATGGCTCTAGTGAGGCCACACAGCAGATGTAGGACAGTGACCAGAGAGAGGCCTCCATGTCAGCCTCCATCCTGCACCTCTTCCTGTCCTCATCCTCCCATTCCTGTTAGACCCCGAGTATCAGTGTATCCAGGCCCACAGTGCCCCAAGAATAGGAAGAGACCCTGCCTCAGGATTCTTCTGCAGGTAACAGAAGTTGATGTGCGTTCATGTATGCTGCTGCCATGTCATGTCCATATGTTAACATGTCACAACACTTGTCTCGATCTACAAGCTCTTATACCCTTTCTGCCCCCTCTTCTGTAATGTTCTCTGAGCCTTGGATGGAGGGAGGTTTATGTAGATGCTCCATCCACAGTGCACCGCACGGTTACTTATACTGCACAGTTTTAATTGTCATGCGTTCATTGTACATAGAGAAGGATTCCATAAGCACATTTTCACACAGGTATGTCGTGTGCTCTTACTGTGTTCACTCCCAGTCTTCTTCTTACCCTGCTATGGCCACTGTTTCCCCAGAGAGTCTCACTGCTAGCTCAATGGCATACATATAATTTTATGTGTATATAAAAAGTCTAGGACTGGAGAGATGACTTCGTGGTTAAGAGCACTGGCTGCTCTTGCAGAGGACCCGGGTTCTATTCCCAGCACCCACATGGAAGCTGACAGCCATCTGTAACTCCAGTTCAGGCTATCACATGTTCTCTTCTGACCTCTGTGGACATCACACAACATGGGTGCAATTACACACAGGCAGGCAATACACTCATACACATAACATAAAAGTTGAGCTCCACAATGAGAAAACACATGTGATGACTTCTTTCAGAGTTTCATTCCTTGCCTCAATATCATCTCCAGCTGTTTCCATTTCCATCAGAATTTGTTGTCTTGCATAGCAGTATTTCTTGCTTCAAATACATGTGCTTCAAAGGCACATTTATTATATAAGCATGTACATGTGTACCTCTAATTTTTACATTATATGTTTACATGTGTTTGTAGTTACAAAATTTATCCAGACTAATATTGTCAACTAGCATGTTGTTGGATGTTCTCTACTCATCTCTCTGGAGATTTATGTCACCACATATTAAAACATATACACTTTCTGGGTTTCACTGCAGGTGTTTCTAACTATGTGATGCTTAGACAATGGGTTGTTAGAGAGACAAGAAGCACCATGGGAATTGGCTGTGGTGGAAGTAGGAGAGACAACCACAGGCTGTCCCACCTTTATCTGATGTGCAGAAGTCCTTGAGGCGATGTCCCCACTCCTGGATCCAAAGCTGGTCATCAAAGGGATCCCATATGCAGGGGAATTAGCATATGTGGTCCTATACCGAAGTGTAGGAGAGCTCCACACCTTCTGAACGTGGAGGTGATTGTTCTCGATAATCCCTAGCACTCAGGATTCAGATAACTTTATTCTATAGGATCTCAGACACAAGTATTGAACTCACAGAACACAGTGGGGTTGACAAATTGAAGAAGAGAAGAGGAAACCTGATACGACAGGGAAAGGGTTGATTGCAGAACTTCATGAAGTTATGTGATCAGATGAACATGTTTTTATAGGAAATAAGTATGTGGAAGGCAGAGAAAACACTCAGGTCTCTTAAACATTTCACATATCCAACCCCTCTTTTCTGTTTCTCAGGAGTATCTGAGACCATCAACCTATCACAAAACATGTCAGAACCCAAGACAGGTGAGTAAGAAGTCTCAGTATTAGGACTGGACAGAGAGTACCAAGTCCTGTCCAAGGGAGGGAGGTGCCTTGGGTGGAAATCCAAGGTATTTTAGTTTGCCCTGTTCTCTTCTTCCACAACCACAGGCTCACAGTCCCAGGATCACATCGTGGAGAATCTCATCGGGATGGGCATGGCTGGCTTGGTCCTTGTGGTCCTTGGGATTCTGCTGTTTGAGGCTCAGCACAGCCAGAGAAGGATTCAAGGTGGACCCAGGTGATGAACAGGAGACAGAACTTCAGCCTTCATGGTAGCAGAGTCTGAGAAGCAAATTTGATGATTTGAGATTTGAAACAAATCTCTCTTTGAAATATAAGAGAGAGAGGATGGGGAGGGGTGCTGTAAAAAGCAGTCCTCTGGACATGACAGGCCTATCACACTCATGAGTGCCTAGGAGCTGTGGTGAACTGCACAAGACCCTCACAAGATCCGTCTAGCCAAAGTTCCAGCAGAGATAGAGGAGGTACTCTCCAGATCCCACCCCTAAATGAGGAGTGCCTGGCAGTTGGCAGCTGCTAGAAGAGGGGACTCATTCTTTTTAATTTTTTGTGACAGTGCAGCTACTGGTACATTGTCCATGGTACAGTGCATGCCCCCCCGACACACACACATTCACATATGGACACTAAGTGGACTTATTGGTTGTCAAAAAGTAAAAACGGGGGCTGGAGAGATGGCTCAACATTTGAGAACACTGGTTGTTCTTGCAGAAGACCCGGGTTCAAATCCCAGCACCCACATGGCAGCTAAAAACTGTCCGTAACTCCAGTCCCAGGGGATCCGACAGCCTTTTCTGACCTCCATGGGCATTGCACAACATGGGTGCACTTACCTACATGCAGGCAATACACGAATACACATAAAATAAAAATAATAAATATTTTTAAAAGTAAAAGAGGACATGAATGTGAGAGGAGATGTGTTGGGATACATTTGGAGCAGGTGGAAAGGGAAGGAGGTGGTGGATATGATCATATTTCATTGGCTGCATGTATGAAACCTTCAATTATAAAGGCAAATTGAATTCAGAAAACCAAGCAATGTATATCTTCCCTCATTTGTGAACTGTAACACCAATTCTTATATATGAGTATATATCCTTAAGTAACAGCAGGAGCCAGGAAAATGGGAAGGAAATATGAAGGTAAAGGACAAGAAAGAGCCCAAAACAGGAAGATAGTAGGGAACAGATGTTGCCAGGAGGGAGGTGTGGAGGAGGGAGGAACATGCAGGGGACCATGGGGTGGGGGAGAAGGGAACTCAGGAGGGGGGGATGGTGGGAGGCAGTTATTATTGGAGGGAGGGTGGGGATAATGGGGGCCCTTGAACTGAGGAGGGAGGAGGGAGGTTGGATGGGGGGACAGAGAGGAGAGATAAATGGAGCTTAAGTGACATGGGAAGCCAGAGGGAAATATATTGACTCTGGAGCCCCCTGAAAAATATGCATATGGTGAGTGAACATTAGTGCATGTGTATACCTGGGGGCTGTATGGCAAGGAGCACAGTGTCATACACAGAGACGGCCTCCCTTTGAGTGGTTGGTCAGAGCAATCCAAGTGACTCCAAAAATTACACAGGCTATTACCGGAGCTCTTGGTTATCTCCCAGAACTCAAAGGTAAGACCCTACTGCTGAAGACAGGACATACTTTGGACACCGGATTGGAGCAATGGAGCAAGAACTGACCTGGAAGCCTTCTCCCTGAAGACTAGCTCTCATAGTTCTAGAGGATACTATGCAAGCTTCTAAGGGAGAAAAAAAAATCAATCAAGGATCCAACCCAGCCCTAAAGCCAAATAACCATAATGACTGGTACAGCAAACTACCTCTGTTGGTGCAGTGGTGGCACTGTTATCTGGGGGGTAATCAACAGCTATCTAATTGGACTTAAAGCCCTCTCAATAGAAGTGAACTCATGGATGCCCTGTAATTATAGCCAAATATTCATGACTGAAGAGGTCATAGATCCTAGACAAAACCCTATCTCTGTCACATCTCTAGACAAATGAAATCTCTTACTATATGCTAAAATATGGATCCTTATATTTAAAGACAAGTATGCCACACACCACTCATCATCAAAGAAGCTTCTTTTTGCAACAGACGGAGGCTACTGCAGAGTTCCACAACTGGTCACACACAGAGAATATACGTCTGAGAGATGCCCACCCTTAAGTGACATATTTAAAGTGGAACCTCTACACCTAAGGCTCATGGAACATAGCAGAACAGGGGGTAGAGAGAATACTAGTGCATCCCTCAACTCTCACCAGCAAAGTTTCCTCATACAAGAGTGTGATGCACACAGACGGCCGCAACTGGCTAAACTTTACAGAGTAAGAAACTGCAGTGTGTGTCCTCCTATATTGAACTTCACCCACTCGTTGCTCAGGGACCATTGCAGAAAAGGGGATGAAAGCATTGTAGAGTCAGGATTGGTCCATGAACATAGGGAAACAGAGACTTTGAAGCCACTGGAAGCTTGCTTATGAGAATTTGTGCCAATGGTGGCATTGAGCACAAGGCCCATGCCTACTCAATCAAAGGTCCAGAGTGAAGCAAGGGAAATGGGTAGCAGACCAGTCACAGCCTGGGAACTGTTGGAGACTGATAACTGCTGGATGAGGGAAAGTAGACCTTCCTTAAGATCACTAGATAGGCTGACTAGACTCCAGTGGATGAACTTGCACCAAAGGACATCTGGGTGCAAATGCTTGACCAGTTGGGACTTAGCATGTATGGCAGAATACATTAGGTCTGGTGGGGGAGGCATATATGGGAGGGGGTATCTAAATTTTATTAAGAACTGTTGTACATGGGACTGGAGAGATGGCTCAGTGGTTAAGAGCACTGACTGCTCTTGCAGAGGACATGGGTTTGAATCCCAGCATTCACAATGTGGCTAACAACCATCAGTAACTCAAGTCTTCTGACCTCCGAGGGCATTGCACAACACAGGTGCACTTACACACATGCAGGCAATACACTTACACATATAAAATAAAAATAATAAATAAAATTTTAAAAAGAACTGTTGTATGAAATGTACAAAAGCTCAATAAAAATATTTTTAAAAGACAAATTCATATATAAAATATCTGGGGACACAGACTTGACTCGAGAGGCCTTAGTATGTATGACAGAATGCATGAGGTCCAGTTGGAAGGAATGGGAGGGATTAGATAGGGAAGGGGTCTGAATGTGATTAAGATGTATTGCATAAAATGCATAAAAAATTCAATAATACATATATAGGAAAGGAAAAATATATCTAATGATCCTAGATATTACTATAAAATCATCTGGCACTTATTTGAGAACTGTTTTCAGAGAATATCCAGGGAGCAAATGTTTTGAGTCTGTGTTGATGCAGAGAACTGTTCTCTGCCCGCCTAGTTCCTTCCCTTCTCCTTGCTGTGGAATTTGCTGACTGAACTAGTCTCTTTCCTCTCCGTGACCTGAGGGAACATCCTGTATCTTCAGCCAGGTTCTGGTCCTCACCTCTGTGATCTGTTCTCGCTCACCCTGATGTAAGATTTTCATTACAGTCCATATTTGCATTATGAGTCTTTTTTCCATTAAATTGGTGTTTATTTAGATCAAGAATAATCACATAACTTTAGCAGTACAGTTATCCTAAAAGTTAACACAGAAGATCAAAGTGAAAAGGAAGCATGGGGTCTGGAGAGATGGCTCAGTGGTTAAGAGCACTGGCTGCTCTTGCAGAGGACCTGGGTTCGAGTCCCAGCCCCCACATGGTGGCTAACAGCAGTCCTTAACTTCAATTCCAGAAGATCAAAGCCCTCTTCTGACCTCCTTGGGTGTTGAACAACAAGAATGCACTTACTTACACACATAAAATAAAAATAATAAAATATTTTTGAGGGAATCAATACCTTTATAATTCAGAAAACTAGGAGACCTCACTTTAACTGATGAACACTTTGTGTCCCATGCTTTTATACATTTTGAAGAATGGATGTGACACATTGGTAAGGAATTCCTAGCAAATAAACTAGAAAACCTTAAATGAAAGACATTCTGCAAAATAACTAGACTTTACTTATCAAAACTATTGATGTTGGGGCTAGAGATGGCTCTATATATATATATATATATATTGGTCTTTTTGAGACAGGGTCTCCCTGTAGCTGTCCTGGAACTCACTATGTAGACCAGGCTGGCCTTGAACTCACAGAGATCCACCTGCCTCTGCCTCCCAAGTGCTGGGATTAAAGGTGTGCGCCACCACACCCAGCCCGGCTCAGTATATTTTTTAAAAGTAAGCACAGAGGAACTGCTATGCATATGGACACAGAGAGATTCAGGGACCAGCTGGGATTTATTGGTGGAATTCTGGATAAAGAAACGCAATTGAGAGCTTCTTTCCCAAGTTCAGAACAAACCACCTTAAGAGAAGCCAGTTGCCAGATAATCTTTAGCACAGATAATGAAAATGTTGGAAAATGTAGTTTATTACTGCAATAAAATGGCTTCCTTAAGAGGCTGAGTGTCATCGTTACATGAGCGAAAGTTGTACTTCTGTCTTTGCAATATATAAATAAGCCT